TTATTGTAGAGATGAGGTCTCGCCAAGTTGCCCAGGCTGGTCTCGAACCCCTGAACTCAGGCAATCTTCCTGCCTTGCTCTGCCTCCCAAAGTGCTGGAATTACAGACTTGAGCCACCACACCCAGCCACCTTTAAGGACCTTAAGCCAATATACAGTATTAATAAAAATGAGATCTAAATTTCATTCACTTTATTTTTATTTTATTTATTTATTTATTTTTGAGCCATAGTCTCACTCTGTTATCCAGGCTGGTGTGCAGTGGTAAAATCATGACTCACCACAGCCTCAACCTCTCGGACTCAGGCTATCCTTCAACCTCACCCTCCTGAGTAGCTGGGAACATACCTGGCTAATTTTTAATTTTTTTTGTAGAGACAAGGTATTACTCTGTTCCCCAGGCTGGTCTCAAGCTTCTGGGCTCAAGCAATTCTCCCACCTTGGCCTCCCAAAGTGCAGGAATTACAGGTATGAGCCACCACTCCAGGCATTATTTATATTATTTTAAAATTCATATTCTTATTTCCTTTTCTCAATTGCTTCTTTATTTTTCCCCTTGTCTTACCTGATTTAATACTAAATTCTTCAACTAGTTCGACTTATCACTGGAATTTCTATTCTATTCATCCTTTTCTAGTTTTAATGATATATACAAGAATTATTATACCACATGTGTTATATACATTATTTCTTGGAGTAATTACTTCTACTTTTAGTTCCTGTCTCTCACTACTGTTCTCCCAATCTCATCATAATCGTTTTGTTAGTTTCTAGAAAGTACCCTATTAGGATTTGAATATAATACGTTAAATATTGATAATAATCTAGGAAATATTCTTGTGACTATATTTTAGCTTTCTCAATCCAGAATTGGATTTTTTAATATAGCAGAGAGATGAGAAATACCTTGGTCCTTGATCACAAACCTGGGTTTGAATCATAGCACTGTCTTTAACAAAGACAACTAATTTACTTAATCTCTCTATACTTCCTTTAATTCAGTCTTCTTTTTTTTTTTTTTGAGTTGGAGTCTCACTCTGTTGCCCAGACTGGAGTGCAGTGGCCGCTTCCGGCCACCACAGCCTTGACCTGCTGGGCTCCGGTGATCCTTCCGCATTAGCCTTCCAAGTAGCCGGAATTACAGGCATGCGCTACCACGCCGGCTGATTTTTTGATTTATTGTAGAGATGAGGTCTCGCTGCCCAGGCGGGTCTCGAACCTGCGGGCTCAGACGATCCACTCACCTCAGCCTCCCAAAGGCGTGGGATAACAGGCTGAGCCACCGAGCCTGGCTAGAATGTGTGTTTTTTAAATTAATTATCATTTTTATAAGTAGAGGAAGATGAACACACATGTCTATGGCTATTTTATTTGTCCTATTAAGAGGAGATCTGTATATGGAATACAGATGTTTTCCTCTCTGTTTCCAGAGGGAAGTAGGAACTGAAGAATGGTGAGAACACCACAAACTTTTGGGAGAAGTAGGGACTGTACCAGAGTCATACAAAAAAAAATGGATAGAAAAGTGTGTCCCAAACTGTGTGAGGTGATGAGGACTTGGATAGGAGGGCTGACTTGGTGGGCTCATCTCCCTCCTGGGAAACATACCTCTGCATTGTCCTAATTATAATGAGATATTAACAGGATATTATGACGTAAATAGTCATCCAAGGGGACCCTCCTGAGACTAGACTTGGGTGTGACATAGGACGGTGCAAGAAAATCTGTGCACCTGGCAAGATGCTTTGAGGCATCTGGTGAAACTTAACTATAAGAGGAGGCATACCTCAACAAACACTGGTTTGAGTTCTGTTCCCCTGGGAAAGTGTTCTGGTCACCGGGCACAGTGGCTCATGCCTGTAATCCCAGCACTTTGGGAGGTCAAGGAGAGAGGATTGCCTGAGCCCAGGGGTTCGAGACCAGCCTGGGCAACTTGGCAAGACCTCATCTCTGCAGGAAAAAATCAAACAATTAGCCAGGCATGGTGGTGTGCACCTGAAGTTCCAGCTAGTCGGAAGGCTGAGGCAGAAGGATCACCTTAGCCCAGCAGGTTGAGGTTGTCATGGTCGTGAACGTGCACTAAAGCCTGGGCGACAGAGTGAGACTTCAATTCAAAAAAAAAACAAAGTTCTGACCAAGAATCTCTTAATGCTTGCCTGAGAACTTGCAAACTCAATGGATCTCTGTGTGTGTGACTAAGATTATTTTCATTCTAGAGAGGTAAAGTTTTAAATTTAGAGACCTAGCCAGGCATGGCAGCTCACATATGTAACCAGCACTCTGGGAGGCCAAGGCTGGAAGATTACTGGAGCCCAGGAGTTCCAGGCCAGCCTAGGCAACATAGGGAGACCTCATCTCTACAAAAAATCAAACATTAGCAAAACATGGTGGCATGCACCTGTAGTTCCAGCTATTTAGGAAGCTGAGGTAGAAGAATTACTTGAGCTTAGGAGGTCGAGGTTGAAGTGAGCTGTGACCATGCCACTGCACTCCCAGGTGACAGAGTGAGAATGACTCAAAAAAAAAAAAAAAAAAAGTGAGAGAGAAAGAATTAAACGTATCCCATAGGGTTGCTATTTTTGAAGCAAACTTAAATGTGGATGTAATAATAATTTTTAGAGTCACTATAACATGCATGTGGTTTTCATTTAAGAGAATTTAGCATATTAGATTTGTAGCCTTACTGAAGTCTTTAAGAACCTTGACCAAGCTTGAAATCAACATGTAACTATCAAGGCAATTAGTTCGTGAAATATGTAGTTTGAATTATTACTTGCAAAACAGTGCTTAAATATTTTGGGGCAATATGCTTAAGGGATGTAAAAGCTTAATAAACTGAACATTAAACAAAACTAAGTAGTGGTAAGTGTTCCTTGTCTGCCAGCAGTCCCTGAGACCTTAAGGATCCTAGCAACAGACAAGGCTACTGTTGACCAGTAGATTATTTTTAATACACTTTACCTTGGGGGCAAAAAGACATGATGTCTGCCTATTACTATTAAAAACACAATCCCAGCTAACATGCTTAGCAGGAAAACCCAGTTAGCAACTACATGGGCCACATTTTATCATGATGTCTCTTGACAAGTGTTATTATTCAATTTGGGGCTTGATTAGGCTTGGATCATAGGCAAATGTTTTGCTATGTTCAATATTCTTTTTTTTTTTGAGTTGGAGTCTCACTCTGTCACCCAGACAGGAGTGCAGTGGCCGCTCCCGGCCACCACAGCCTCGACCTGCTGGGCTCTGGTGATCCTTCCGCCTCAGCCTTCCAAGTAGCCAGAACTACAGGTGTGCGCTACCACGCCCGGCTAATTTTTGATTTATTGTAGAGATGAGGTCTCGCCAAGTTGCCCAGGCGGGTCTCGAACCCGTGGGCTCAGGCAATCCACTCACTTCAGCCTCCCAAAGGCGCGGGATTACAGGCTGAACCACTGAGCCCGGCTTCAATATTCATTTTTATGTTGTGTTGATGCTTAACCTGTCTGCCTCCCGTAAATGTTTCAGCCACTGTGTAAACCAAGCACTTCTGAAGTCTAAATAGTTTCACCTCCTACCACTATCATGCAAGAGTAATCCATCTGCCAGTTGCTGCTGACGTAATGTCGCTAACAGATACGTCAGTGATTCTTGCTGTGGACGTCGGCAGCCGGTGTTCAGTTATTTTTCTGGAATAGACGAGGCTTCAGCCTGTCACTTGCAGGGCTGATCTAAGATGCTCTGGGGATTCTCTGAGGACTTATGAGCTGATAATGCTCAGGGATTTAGTGTCCCGAAGAACTCTTTAATCCTCTGCTTCCCGAATCCCACCCTAAGCCAGGCCTTTCTGTCATATCCCAAGAGTTACAGGCGGTTTGGGAGCTCTGCTTAGCAACCGTTCCACTCGACCTTTGGAAGGCCCATGAGGGACCACTTGGGTTGTCTTCCATCACTTGGATCAGGATGCACTTTCTTCGTGTCTCTCTGCCTCGGGTAGCGCTCTGAGGGTCTTCCTTTCTACACGGCAGCAGCAAAGCCAGGCCCGCCATGGGCGAGGTCAGCCAAGACTCCGTGGAGAAATTTCTGGAGGAGAACCCCCGTTTTGCCAAGGAATACTTCGACAAGAAGCTGAGGGCGGAGGCGCTGGGTGAAATCTTCAAGAACAGCCAGGTGTCGCCAGTGCAGGCCAGCGTGTCCTTCCCCGAGCTGACCCAGGTGGAGGAGGCGGCCCTCTGCTTGGAGCTGCTGTGGGCGGTGCAAGAGGAGGTGGGGGATCCTGAGCAGGGCGTCCACAGAGCCCTGAAGAGGGTGGCCCAGCTGCTGCAGGCCGAGCGCTGCAGCATGTTCCTGTGTCGGGCCCGTAACGGCACGCCCGAGGTGGCCTCCAGGCTCCTGGACGTCACCCCCACCTCCAAGTTTGAGGACAACCTGGTGGCCCCTGACAAAGAAGTTGTGTTTCCGTTGGACATCGGGATAGTGGGTTGGACCGCTCACACGAAGCAAACCTTTAATGTCCCCGATGTGAAAAAGGTAGGTGGCCTATGGCAGTGGGGTGGAGGTCTCGGTGAAGCCAGGGGGGAACTATGGGAAGGAGAGACGATGCTATCTTTGTGGCCCTGGCTTGGCTATCACCTGGGGGGCAGCAAGGAGGAGATGCATCCCGGCCTAGCGATGTCAGTTTTAGCAAATCAAATGATGAGGTGCCCGGTTGAACCTGAATTTCAGATAATCAGTGAACGCTGTTTTTAGCGCATGACCCATTGGACACTGCCAGGTAATCCTACCACGGCCTGATGCATTTCATACCCACTCCCCGACACCTCCAGTGTTCTGGGAACTTTCCTTCCTGACAACTCCAGCAAAGTAAACCACCCCACGGGGGAGATCGGGCCACCTACCCAGATGCCAAGACGTGTGAACGTCCATGTCTTTCCCTCACAGCCCTTTGAAGACACTGGTGTCGGGGGACAGATTGGCTCATACATCTATTCTTTCATCTACAGACCACATGTGACAAAAGAAAAAAAAATGAGGTCATTCGAAAGTTCAGATGCTGGAATTCGGAATTCATGACACATTTTTGAATTGAGGGGATGGTTAGGTGCCATTGGCTGTCCTGTCCTTCCATCACTCAGATCTATGGAGAACGAATTCCAGTCCTGCCCCTGGGACTTTGGAGTTTTCTTGAAGACCAGCAGCACCACGCACAAACACAAGGCATTGCCCCTTGTGGAAGCAGAAGCAGCACTTCTTCCTTCTTTCCGTTGCAGTACACGTTCGCTTCAGAAAAATCATAAAATACAAATGAACGTAAAGGAAGAAATGTCAATCACCCGTCATCCCTCCCCCAGAGGTACTCTAGGGCCCAGCGTGACATTCCTCCCAGCATCTCTGTCTCGGCACACGCGTTCCATTTTTCTGACGTGCCATGGACAAAGGGGCAGAGATGGATTAGGATGGGACAGGGTCGAATGGGACCAGGAATGCTCTCTGTGCAGGGGTGAAGAGGGCAGCTGGAGAGGCTGGGGGATAATCCCCTAAATGCCTCCTGAAGCTGATTACAGGGGCAGGGTCGCACAGGCCTGGGAGGTGTGGACGTGGTCAAACATGAGCCACAAACAGCCGTGGGACGCCCCTCGGGGGCAAGGGTCAGGGTGCCCCTCAGGGGGAAGGGCCTGCAGAATCCTCGTGGCTTGATGATCCCTCCCTCAGAGAATCCAAGCTAGTTTAGGTTTGCTTCAGGGGCTGCAGCCTCTTCAGGTGACTAAATGGTTGCGTGCCCTTCAGGCGAATTTCTCCTGAGGCCAGCTAGAAGGTTCTGTTTCCTACACTGTGAGGTTTTTTCTTGGGAGTAAGCTTCTTGACCGTCTCCAAAAGAGCACATCAAACTTCAGAAAAAGATATTCAATCATTTGGTTTTTTTTTTTTTTAAAGAAGAGATGGGTAAAATGATTTCTGCTGTGATTGTTTCCCCGAGCCCAGCCCTCTAATGTCGGCGGAGGGGCTTTGGTTGGATGCTGTCTGTGGTGAGCACAAGGCGTAGACAGGGTGGTCATGTCAGGGGAGGTCTCTCTCACCTTCTCCTGAGGGCTTCTGGCTGTTCTTGGCAGGACACAGAGAAACATGTGTTGAAGACAGACACCCCATCTGAGCTCACAGGAAAGACAAAGGCCTTCTGTTCTCTCCATTTCTACTGCTTCTAAGTATGTTTTTCCTCTAGAGTAATGCTTTCCAATTCTGGCTGTACATCAAAACCAAATAGGTAGCTTTAAAAAAAATTCTGTTGTCTGACACACTCAGTTGACCGATGACAGCCGACTCTCAGAAATTAGAATGCAGGCATTAGTATTTTATTTATTTATTTATCTATTTATTTATTTATTGGAGTCAGGATCTCACTCTGTCACCCAGGCTAGAGTACAGTGGCACCATCATGGCTCACCATAACCTCGACCTCCTGGGTCCTGGCAATCTTCCCAGGACACAGGTAGCCTCCCGAGTAGCTGGAATTACAGGTACATGCCACCACACCTGGGTAATCTTCACATTTTTTGTAGAGACAAGGTCGCCCTGTGTTTCCCAGGCTGGTCTCAAACTTCTGGGATCAAGTGATTCTCCCGCCTCGACCTCCCAAAGTATTAGGACCACAGGCATGAGCCATCGCACCTGGCTGGCAATTTGTATTTTTTAAAATCTTCCCCAGGTAATTAATACACAACCAATTGTGTCTGCTGGGTGAGCAGATACAGGAGGAGGAAGTGAATTTCAAATCAACCGTGGAACAGAACGTTAGAGCCAGGAAGGGCTTAGTAAGCTCCACTTTGTCCTATGGCAGACAGGAAGTGGAGGTCGTGGGAGGTCTATCTCCCCTCAGAGTCCGTGGTACCTGTCCAGAAATGGGAAGGGCTGAAGCTGAGGATTTTGTCTCCATGTCCCGTGGTCTTGTCATTCTATCCAGCACCCCTGCATGTTTACCACGCTGCTGCAGTAAAGTCTACAACGAGAAAAGAGGTGGGAACCAATGTTTTAAATGAAATATCTGATTAATTCTCCCTTTTTTCATTGCACTTGACAACTTACAAAGCATTTTCTCATTCTTAATCTTTTTTCTTTGGAGTCGGAGTCTCACTCTGTTGCCCAGGCTGGAGTACAGTAGCATGATCATGGCTCATCGCAGCCTCAACCTCTCGGGCTCAGGTCATCCTCCTGCCTCAGCCTCCCAAGTAGGTGGGACTACAGGTGCATGCCACCATGCCCGGCTAATTTTTTTTTTTATTGTAGAGGTGAGGTCTCGCCATGTTGCCCAACTGATCTTGAACTCCTGGGCTCAGGCATTCCTCTCGCCTTGGCCTCCCAAAGTGCTGGGATTTCAGGTATGAGCCACTGCGCCCACTTTCATTCTTAATCTTATTTGATTCTGACAAAGACCCTTTGTAGGGGGCAGGGACCATGGTTTTAATTTCCATCCTGTCTAATAGGAATCTGCTCAAGGTCAGGTAGCGGAATATGGCAGGTATAGGACAATGAGCCAGGTCTTTGGGGACTCCATATTTCTGCCACACCATCCACCACACACAACTCTTCTCTGACTAGTAGTGTGGACACAGGTGAGGGAGAGACTTCTCACACCTAGCCAGAGATGCAGAGACAGATACTCCCAACTCCCAGGTCCTTGAAAGCGGTGGTAACAGGGAAGCCACATGGTGAAGGGAGAGGGCTTTGGCATCAGACAGAGCTGGGTACAGATTCACATGTGCGACGTCAGAACTGTGATGGGTTGAGCTTTTGCAACTAAGATGTGGACGTAAGCAGATATACAGATTAAATGCATATAAAGTGCCTGACTCATAGTAGATAATAAATGGTTGCTGTGATAATAGTGTCATGATACCAGTAAGGGTTTGGGGGCTGGATGTGGCTGGCCAAAAAAGGGTCAATGATTATTGTGTTTTAAAACAGGTTAAAGACTTTTAGCAACAGGGAACTGAGTGACAACTTCTCCAACTTTTTGTTTCTCTCTCCCATGGGATAGCTGTCCATTAACTCTGGGGGACCCCGATTCTGACTGTGGCTTCAAGTTCTCCTTTCTGTTCCTTCCTTCCCCTCTCTTTCTGCCTCTGAAGGGTTGAGTGTTTAATTAGGATTTAGCAATACTGACATCTGAGGAGGGGTCAGACCCCCTGCAGCTCTAAACAATATTCTCCAGCTGCCTTGGGGGCTTCTTAGAAGAAGGACCATCAAGGGACATGCAGGATTTACACAGAGAGACTTCACTGAGGATTCTCTGAGCTGGTAAAAACAACAACAACAAAAACCTAAAAGTTCTCTCTTCCCTTGTAATTTGGCGACTGGCTTCCCCAGGGCTTTTGGACGCAATAATAAGCAAGCCTTTGATTTTGAAACTCATAAGCCATTTTCTCAGAACAGCCTGTTGAATGTAGAAATATTTCCTTGGGTTGAAGATCTGAAATAAAATAGCGTCAGGTTTTGAAGCTGCAGAGGGAAAGGCGTTTGCAGAGATAAGGCTGCCCAGCCCCATTCCACGGTGGTGCTTGTTGCTGGTATTTTGCGTATTCATTTAGCACCGGGCTGTGGACACGAGGCACTCAAGATCTGAGTGGATTAAAGGGTAGAAGGAAAACAGAACGCTAGCTGGCCTAGATAAGCGGCGGATTACGAGAAAGAACCCAACAGAGTCTGGAGACATGTTGGCCCCAGGGTGAAGATGCCACAGGAAGCAGAGGGAAGGAATAGATCCAAGAGGCAGGAGGGTAATGTGGCTCTTGGTGGCACAGGACAGAGAAAGGGCGCTCCTGGGCATGGGAGGCCTACGGCTAGCTGGGAGTTTCTGATTTTTTCTTTTCTTTTCTTTTTTTGAGTGGGAGTCTCACTCTGTCGCCCAGACTGGAGTGCAGTGGCATGCTCCCAGCCATCGCAGCTTTGACCTGCTGGGCTCCGGCAATCCTTCTGTCTCAGCCTTCCAAGTAGCTGGAACTACAGGCATGTGCTACCATGCCCGGCTAATTTTTTGACTTATTGTAGAGACAAGATCTCACCAAGTTGCCCAGGTGGGTTTCGAACCCACAGGCTTAGGCAATCCACTCGCCTCAGCCTCCTTAAGTGCTGGAATTATAGGCTGAGCCACCGAGCCTGGCCACTTCTGATTTTCTCATTGATTAGAATTGGCTAGCAAAGCTAAAACTAGAAGCGAAATGGTAATTGTCAAAGAATTTCCAGAAAGGCCTGGAAAGTTCTGGATTTTTCCTCCGGGACTTATGGGGAATGCACTACGTGTCAGACACGTTTCCAAGTGCTCCCTCAGCCCTGTCACATCAAGGGTTCTGGGCAGCCCATAGAATCATCATCCCTGTTTTCAGATCAGAAAACAAGGACACACAGAGTGAGTGACACGCCCAGGGTCACACAGCTAGTAAATGGGACACGGTTTCAGCCAAGGAAGTCTGGTTCCAGAACGTTCTTTGCCTTTATGCCATGCTGCCTCCTGAGTACATGGTGTATTTTGTCTTGTGTGTTTCTACTTTGAGCAAAGTAGAGAAGCGATCTGGGGTGAGGGGCTGCATCTGATGCCCCTGACAGCACACACATCCTCTGTGAATGGTGCCATTTCTAGGTCATTCCATCCACAAGAGGGGTTCACCCATTGGGTTGAACATGAGAATCGCCTGGGGCACTTGAAAGTACAGATTCCACTTGAGGAGATTAGGATTTGGCGAGTATGCAGTGAGGTCTCTAAATCTGCACTGGCCTATCAGAGGCCAGTCCCAAGACTAATCTGAGTTGAGCTCTGTGAGTTCTACTGGTCAAGCCGCCTTTTTCCTGGTGAAAGTTCTGGAAATGACACACAGGGTATTCTCGCATTTTTCCTTTGGGAAACCGACAGAATCCAGTCTCCAAGGGGGTGGGCAGCTTTAGAAGTACCGCCAACCCAGGAAAATGAAAATAACACTGTTGTGAAAGAAACACTGTATTAATGTGGGCCGCTGAGTCTCAGAGGAGAAGACCCAGGTTCAAAAGGAAGAATGTCACGACTCAAGGAAGGCTGAGTCTGCACCCATCTCGACTGGGTATTCCCTGAAATCACAGCTCTTTTTTTTTTTTTTTTTGAGTTGGATTCTCACTCTGTTGCCCAGGCTGGAGTGCAGTGGCACACTCACAGCCACCCCAGCCTCGACCTGCTGGGCTCCGGCGATCCTTCCGCCTCAGCCTTCCAAGTAGCCGGGACGACAGGCATGCACTACCATGCCCAGCTAGTTTTTGATTTATTGTAGAGACGAGATCTTGCTAAGTTGCCCAGGTTGGTCTCGAACCCCAGGGCTCAGGCAATCCACTCGCCTTGGCCTCCCAAAGTGCTGGGAGGACAGGCTGAGCCACCGACCCTGGCTGAAATCACAGCTCTTAAGGTGATGGCCTTCCCTGGCCTTCTCAAGGCCTTCCCTCTGTGTACTGCCTCAGACTCACCACCCAGCCTCTGCTGTGGCAGTTGGGTTAGAATCACCTCTTGCATCTACTCTGTGAGACCTGTGTAGGAAGACCCACTTTCTTCTCTCCCCAAGAGAGAAATAACAAATATGAATGGAAGACATGAACTTGGTGAAACATTAAAAGTCTGACAAGAGGCTCAGCCTGTCATCCTGGGACTTTGGGAGGCCAAGGTGAGTGGATTGTCTGAGCCCGCGGGTCGATGCTGGGGTGGCCGTGAGCGTGCCACTTGCACTCCAGCCTGGGCAACAAAGTGAGACTCCGACTCCAAAAAACAAAACAAAACAAAAAACAACAAAAAAAGTCTAACAAGTGGCCAGGTATGGTGGTTCATGCCTATAATCCCAGCACTTTGGGAGGCCAAGGCAGTAGGATCTGTTGAGCCCAGGAGTTTGAGGCCAGCCTAAGCAACATAGCAAGGCCTGGTCTCAACAAAAGGAAAAAAAATTGACCAGGCATGGTGGTGCACCTCTAGCCCCAACTACTCGGGAGGCTGAGGCAGGAGGATTGCTTAAGCCCAAGAGGTTGAGGCTGTAGTGAGCAGTGATTGTGCCACACTGCACTACAGCCTGGGTAACAAGAGTAGACTCAAAACAAAACAAGATAAGTATCTGATGCTGGCAAGAGGATAGTCCTCTCACACGGGCTCAGTGGAAGGAGGCATTTCAACCTTTTGCAAAAGTCATCAGTGTTAATAAAAACCGCATATACTGTAAGATTTAGCAAAAGGAATTTCCACTTGTTGCTTCACTACATAAAAATAAGACAAGGTCAGGCGCTTATGGCTGTAATTCCAGCAGTTTGGGAGGAGTTCAAGACCAGCCAGAGCAACAGAGTGAGACCCTGTCGCTACAAATCTTAAAAATAAGATAAAAGCAAGAAAGATGAGTGCAGTATTGTTTGTGGTGGGGAGAAACTACAAGGGGAACCCCCAAGCCCCCAAAATTTATTTATGAAAAATTGAGTATTTAGTCTTACATGTTTTAACTTCAGTCATCTTCAAAATACTCTCCGCTTGATGCAATCCACCTATTGAGATGCTTTTTCCACTACTCAAAACAGTTTTTGAACTTGTCAATTTTGACGCCTTTTAGTGCTTCTGCCATGCTTGGTTTCACCTCTTCCACATGAGTGAAACATTTCCCTCTGAAGATTCTTTTCCTCTGGAGAAACAAAAGTCGTTCGGGACAAGATCGTGTGACTAGGGAGGGTGAGTCATGGGGGTCATGCTGTTTCTTGGTTAAAAACTGCTGAACCTTTAGTGCAGTGTGGACAGGTGTGCTTGTTAATCACCCATCATGAAATGGGCAAACGCGTTGAAAGGATCTCCAAAAAAAATTCAGTGAAGCTGAAAACAGCCTCTCACAATAACGCTAGCTGGTACACTGAAGCCCATGGGTTCCTAGAACACTTATCTAGCAGGGGAAGTCTGTATTACTTTTGGAGGGCCTGCCCTCCAAAAGATAATTCCAGGGTTTTTTGGGTTCTCCTTGTACGAACAGACCTAATCAGTAGAGGACAGTTGCATGGGTCACAGAGTATCTGGTGTACAAGAGTCTTTGAGATGAGTTCACATCCACATGCAGTGGTCTGGCGGGAAGCCCACAAGAAATCATTAAGTGATGAAAGTATTATACGAAACTGAACAGAAAACTCTCACTGGAAACACAGAGAAAGGCGTACAAGAAGACATTCCTGCTGTGAACACTGATTTCCTCAAGTAGGAGAGAGTGGTAGGAATTGGGGGAAATGTTCATTTTTTCTTTGCAATGACATTACAGGCTGATGGTGTCAAGTGCGCGTTGTACTTTTAGGATTAGCGAGAAGCACTCTATGAACGGTGTCTGTACCCAACTGGGCTCTCCCTCTCACACCCGCCTTCTGTCCACTGTCACCCTGTGCCGTCTCCCTTCCCTTGAGCACCTTACTTTCCACGTGGCTGTGGCATTGCCTCTTTTCTTCTGGCCCAACTCCCGCCTAATCTAGGTAGGCCGCTGCTCAGGTGGAAAGTGTTTGTTCTGAAAAGGGCAATTCCCTCCTATGTGGCCAGAGAATTGGCCGGCAAAGAGGGATTGTTTGTTGGGGACCACCATGCCGGGGCCCTGACTCTTTGAAGCAGGCAGAATGATCTGTCACCACCCCTCCATCAACTTCTGAGCCAACTGTGTGAATATCTCTTTCAGAACACCCATTTTTCTGACTTCATGGACAAGCAAACCGGGTATGTGACCCGGAACCTGCTGGCAACCCCCGTCATGATGGGCAAGGAGGTTCTTGCTGTGATTATGGCGGTTAATAAAGTGAATGCACCCGAATTTTCCAAACATGATGAAGAGGTAATGCTATAACCCTGGGCTCTGGTCAGAGGCTCAGGAGAGATATGTATTGTTTAACCAAAGGAAAGATGTCATGGCCATAATGTGTCTTTCTCTGCCATCCGTAGGTCTTTTCCAAGTACCTCACCTTTGTTTCTGTCATCCTGAAGCTTCATCACACCAACTACCTGTATAATATTGAATCCCGGAGGAGCCAGGTAAAGAGGAGGGGACACCCATCATTTCAAAGGGACCCAGAAGCAGCATAGAGGACCTTCCTGTCCTTCAGGGGGTGCTTAAGCGTGGAGCAGGTTCCCAAATTTCAGTGCCAGGTGTCCTCTCATGGTCTTTCCCCGGTTGCTCCCTATAACCTTCCATCTGTGTGTATGGACTGGTTTGGCTTTCTTTAGTCTTTCTCTACCCTGGGTGGCCTTGGTATTTTTGTCTATGAGATGGTGATGATAATGGGTTGTGGTGACTGTTAAATTGTTGTGAGCTCTCCCGTCAGCTCTGAGTGGTAAAGCTATTCAGTTGAAGAGCAAATCACTGCTAGGAAGTCTGTTGTTTCCAGGTGGAGGGATAAGAACAACATTGGTAGTGAGGCTTCCCGAGCCTGGACTTCAGTTTCTTCCCCAGTAGAATGCAGGGGTGAGGGTTGGGTGGAGGTCCCTTCCCATTCAAGCTCTCCCCTGGCTCGCGAAGGATGTGTGGAAGGGACACGAGGTTTTCTCAGTCCAGGAACTCTCTCTGCATCAATTTTAGGGCACTTGCCTTTGGAGCCAAGATATTTGGACACAGGGACCAATCTTGGCTTCTCCCCCTTCATAAACCCACAACCCACAGCCTTGTAGAGGTCTCCTCATCATTCCACCTGGAGAATCTGAGTGGTCTGCTGGATATACCCATGTTCAAAATTAGAACTGCATTTTACAGTGACACATTCATTTGATTGGATGAAATCGTGTTTTCTTTTGGCTCATACTCTGTCTCTCCGTACCATAGTTTGTTCTAACCATTTGCTTTTTAATACCTGCTTTCAGATCCTTATGTGGTCAGCCAATAAAGTCTTTGAAGAACTCACAGATGTCGAGCGGCAGTTTCACAAAGCACTCTACACAGTTAGGACATATCTGAACTGCGAACGGTACTCCATTGGACTGCTGGACATGACCAAGGAGAAGGTCCTTATTATTCCATAAATTTTGTCTCATCTCAAATCACTGATAAAAATGCACAGTGCAGGAAATGCGATGCTTTAAAAATGGGTACACTGTGGACATAATTAGTCACAAGAGATCACAAGAACAGAGGTAGAAGTATTTTGGAGCAACAAGGATACAAGCTTGACTCGTAGTGTTTCCACTTCCTAATTGTCTATGTCTTCAGCGAGTTTTAAAAATTTTTTAATGAATAGATTTTATTCTTAAGAACAGTTTTAGGTTTACTGAAAACTCAGTAAGAAAGCACAGAGTACCCACTTCCCTCCCAGCTTCCCTGTTATTAGCATCTTGCATGAGTGTGGACATGATGAATCAATATTGCTACGATACAATCAGCGAAGTCCTCAGTCTACATTAGGGTTCGCTCTTTGCGTAGTGCAATTCTACGGGTTTTGACAAATGCATAATGTTATATTTCTGCGATTATACTATCAGACAGAATAGTTTCAGTGCTCTAAAAACCCTCTGTGCCCTAGTCAATCTTCTCTCATCTCCTCCACACTCCTAGTAGCTACTGCTTTTTAAAAGAAAATTTTATTGTAGAGATGAGGTCTCGTCAAGTTGCCCGGGTGAATCTTGAACCTGCGGGCTCAGGCAATCCACTCACCTCGGCCTCCCAAAGTGCTGGGATGACAGGCTGAGCCAGTTTTTTTTTTTTTTTGCTTCTGGAGTTTTGTCTTTTCCAGAATGTCCTATAGTTGGAATCAGACAGTTTGTAGCTTTTTCAGACTGACTATTCACTTGGCAATATGCATTTAAGGTTTCTCCATGTCTGTTTATGGCTTAATGGCTTCTTTTTATTAATGAATAATCTTCCATTGTTTGGCAGTTTGCTTATCCATTCACCTATTGAAGGATATCCTGGTTGCTTCTACATTTTAGCAATGGCAAAGCTGCTGTAAAAGTTGTATGTGAGTTTTTGGTCCTACCTAAGTTTTTAACTTAACTGAGTAAATACCACAGAGGGATCATATTGTAAGACTATATTTTCCTTTGTAAGAAACTGCCAGACTGTCTTCTAAGGCAACTTTACCATTTTGCATATCTACCGGCAAATAATGAGAGTTCCTTTGCTCCACATCCTTGCCAGCAGTTGGTGATGTCAGTATTTCGGGTTTAATAAATTAGTGATATCTCATTGTTGTTTTAATTTGCAACTTCCTAATGGCACAGAATGTTGCACATTTTTTTTTATATGCTTGCTTGCCAGATGAAGGTAATTCATGTCTTCTTTAGTGAGATGTTCAAGTCTTTTGCCTACTTTTTAAAAAATTTTTAATTTTGAAGATGTGGGGTACAATTTAGGGTTACGTATACAATGTTCATTATGCAGGTACCCTTATTGATGAGGTGTGCCACCCCCGCCCTGGCAGTTTCCCACTACTATCAATCCTGCCCCCTCTCCCCTGGCAGTTTTCAACTACTGCCAATCCCTTTCTTGTAGTATTATGATAGTTGTTCAAGGTCTGCTTATGAGTGAGAACATGTGGTACTCACTTCTTTGTTTCTGTGCTAGATCACTAAGTATTATAGCCTCTAAGTCCATCCAAGTTGCCGGGAAGTCCATAATTTTGTCCTTGATTATGGCTGTGTAATATTCCATCATGTGTATGCACCACATTTTTAAAAATCCAGTCCTCTTTCTGTGGGCAGCATGGTTGATTCCATGTTTTTGCTATTGTAAGTAATGCTGCAATAAAAATATGTGTGCAGGTATCTTTTTCATAGAGTGATTTGAGTTCCTCTGGGTATATTCCCAGTAGGGGGAATGCGGGGTCATATGGGAGATTGATTTTTAGATCTTTTAGGAACCGCCAAACTGTTTTCCACAAAGTTCATACTAGTTTACACTCCCACCAATCTCTCCGGCATCTGTTGTTTTTTGAGTTCTTGATGATGGCCATCCTGACTGGAGTTAGGTGGTATCTCAGTGTGGTTTTAATTTGCATTTCTTTGATGACTAGTGAGGCTTTTTGCCCACTTTTTAATTGGATTGTTTGGTTTCTTATCATTCGTCTTTAAGAGTTCTTTGTATATTTTGGGTACAAGCCCTTTATCAAATATATGTTTTGAAAATACTTTCTCCCGGTCTGTGTCTTCTCTTTTCCTTCTCTTTACAGTGTCTCTTGTAGAGCAGACATTACAATTTTAATGAAGCCCAATTCTTTCATATTTTTTCTTTCATGAACTGTGCTTTTGATGTTATGTCTGAAAAGTCCCAGTTCACCTAGTTCTCTCATATATCAACTTCTAGAATTTTTTATAGTCTGTGTTTTACGCTTAGGTCTATGATTCATTTTGAGTTTTGTGTGTGTGTGTGTGTGTGTGTGTGTGAAAAGTGAAAGGTCTGTGTCTAGATTTACTTTTTTTTTTTTTTAAATGTGAATTCTCAGTGGGTACAGCACAATTTATTGAAAAGATGATTCTTTCTCCACTGCCTTGGCTCTTTTGCCAAAAAATCAGTTGACTATTATTTCTGTATATTTCTGGGTTCTCTATTCTGTTCCATTGATTTATTCGTCTGTTCTTTCGCCAATGTCCCACTGTTTTGATGACCATATCTTTATAGTAAGTCTTGCACTTAAGTAGTTTCTGTTCTCAACTTTCTCCTTTTCAGCAAGTCTTTTATTTAACTTCTCTGATTCTTGGCTTCCTCATGCAAAATGAGGACATCTCTCTTATCAGCTGTGAGGATTCAAGATATGAAGTCTTGTAGTCTGAAAAAGTTTTAATTACCTTAAAGTAGAAATATTAAAACATTTAACACGATTCACAATATAATGTTTGTATCTCATCTTGCTTAATTTATGCTGTTGACACCCCTCTCAACCAACATGGCTAATGATGCCATATCACACATATTCTTACTCTCCATGAGATTGGAAGTTGTTTTTTTTTTTTTTTTCAGAATAATTGCTCTAAGTGGAAAAAACATAAGCCCAAGCATCAAGAGAGCTGGGCTCTGATCCAGGTTCTAGGACTTCTAGCTGAGCAGAGTGGTTAAGATTCTTTTGGCTGTGGGGGACAGTCAAGATGTCAAGAGCATCTTTCACCACATGATGGTTATTCTCTCATTTGACAAGAAGGGCAGTTCCAAGACTGGTTAATTCAAAGCTCAGTAGAGTCATCCAAATCTAGGTGTTTCCGTTTCTTCCTGGCTAGGTCTGTGACCTGCAGCATGGGGGTGAGGTCTCCACGTGTGGTGGCTGTTATAGCTCCAAGCAGGGCACATAGAGATGACAGAATCGGGAGGCATTTCCTCCCGTCATCCTCACCACCTTCCATCTGAGGAGGACCTTTCCCCAGGGGTCCCTCGGCAGACTCGTTCCTTCTTCACTGTCCAAAACTGGGCCACATAACTGCCCTCAAATGACTCCAGGCCCCATAGAGACCACTCATGGGCTGTGGTCTGCTGGAGAATGACCACTTGATACCCAAATAAAACCAGGTTTTGCTAGCAAGGAAGAGGAGAATGGATGTTGACTAGGGCAACACACATTGGCCACTCAGTGTGACCTTGACCAAACCTCTTTTTTTTTTTTTTTTTGAGTTGGAGTCTCACTCTGTTGCTCAGGCTGGAGTGCAGTGGCACACTCATGGCCACCCCAGCATCGACCTGCTGGGCTCAGGTGATCCTTCCACATCAGTCTTCCAAGTAGCCAGAACTACAGGTGTGCACCACCATGCCCAGCTGATTTTTTTTTTTTTTAGTTGGAGTCTTACTCTGTCACCCAGACTGGAGTGCAGTGGCTGCTCCCGGCCACCGCAGCCTCGACCTGCTGGGCTCCAGCGATCCTTCCGCCTCAGCCTTCCGAGTAGCCGGAATTACAGGCACGCGCCACCACGCCCGGCTAATTTTTTGATTTTATTGTAGAGATGAGGTCTCACCTACCCAGGCAGGTCTTGAACCCACGGGCTCAGGCAATCCACTCACATCAGCCTCCCAAAGGCGCGGGATTACAGGCTGAGCCACCGAGCCCAGCCTGGCCGAACCTCTTAATTGACCTGGATTCACTTTAATTGTCTATGAAAGAGCTGCTATGCCTTGAATACCCTTAACTGTGTGTGGGGTTGGTGTTTGGTACATAGTATCCAATTAATCCTCACAACAACTCTTTAGTAAACATTTTATTATTTCCATTTTACAGATGAAAAAGAATGAGTGACTTGTTCACAATCAAAAGATCATAAACAATATTGCTGGCAATTATAGATCTTTTTGGGAGTAATTCCAGAACTGTACAGATAAACATACAATACACAAGCATACATTCATTTAAGCCAGGGGTCCTCAAACTTTTAAAACAGGGGGTTAGTTCACTGTCCCTCAGACCGTTGGAGGGGCGGACTATAGTTTAAAA